CTCTCTCTCTCTCTCTCTCTCTCTCTCTCTCTCTCTCTGTGCGTGTGTGTGTGTGTGTGTGAGTGTGCGTGAGAGAGAGAGAGAGAGAGGAGATTCAGTCTCTAGATGTCTCTTCTCGAGCGCTCGTTAATGCCATGGTTGCGTATCCCTATTGCGGACATGCGCGCCTCTGTTACTGGACTGCCACGGAAAGTCTCAGACCATTTTTACCACACCAGTGATTGAAGAGCGTGCCGGGATCTGATGGCAATGCGCGTAGAAATGAGAATGCAAATGGTCTTTTTTTGGTGTTTTTCTTACCAAACCATCCCCGCCTCCCCCCCGCAACCCCCCCCGGCGCTACGTACAACACTGGTTGAAAATGCAATTTAACTATTTTAGTGTTTTTAATATATATGCATCGACTTGAGAGCAGACAGTCTGACTGCCTTCTCACCCAGGGCGAATGAACACGCTGGAAAAACTATGCGCTATGACAACCTGCACAGGTCAAGCTATCCGATTCATCTCACGTGGTCAAGATTACTACGACAACCTAGTACGCGGAAGTTTGATAATCACATCCGAAGATTCACCGCGGAGACTCGGGCGAATCAAACCCCAGATCGTTTTGCTCCTTCGTTCGCCGCTCTCCTCCTTGCGAAAGTTCACCGAACCATCCTTGAAGAATCATGCAGCCTTTCATAGCTATTGACTGCATCATACTATCACAGCGTAGAGACCACATCTGACTGTCAAGCCTGAGGCACTGCAAGCAACCGAAGGCCAGGCGAAGGGCTTATATAATATGAGTCAGCACACAATCTCTTCATTGCGCAGCGCTCTGCGGAGAATGGTTGCAATGAGCAGAGGCTGCACTTCACTCGTCCAGCACCGGGTGTCGTTCTAAACGAAGTGATCACCAGTCTTGAAAGTAAGGCAGTCTCTCTCGTCACCGTCACTGTTGAAGTTGTCATCACCCTCCTTATACTGGGCTGCACTGATCTGAACCCTGATGTACTTGTTCAGGAACCGGCCCAGATCCTGACCATTGAAGTTCTGCGAGGCGAGCCAAGCTTGGCTGGCCTTGAACATGTGTGAGCATTCCACTTCCTGCCAACAGCAGTCCGCGAAGTCCGAGTATTTGCACGACCTCGAGTTTGCAACTTTCACCTTCCTTGCTTCACTGGAATCATCACACGACAAATCCCCCGGACATGTCCACAGAAACAAAGCACAATGAAACGCACAGGTATGCGCACACAAACACACACACACACACACACACACACAAACAACGCCAAACCGCAACAGCTACAAAATACACACACGCACAGATGTATGGCGAACATGACAACACACACACACACACAGAGAGAGAGAGAGAGAGAGAGAGAGAGAGAGAGAGAGAGAGAGAGAGAGAGAGAGAGCACGGCATTGGGCACTGTTAGAATCGGAGGCAAACAACGTATTGGATAACGATAATGGAGGATCGCAATCAGAGAGGGTAACAAATCTGCTGTACGTTGAGGCAACCAATGTCAGAGACTCGCCACAGAGAAAGGGGGGGCTGTAGCCTCTTGGCTTCCATTGAAACGGGAAAGATGCACTCACCATAATCCACGTATGGCGAGTGCGAGAGCAAGACCCCTTTCTAGTACCATCACCCGCCAACTGACGTCACAGTCTAAATGCACACGTGTTCTCAGAGCAGAGCAGGGGAGAGAGGGAATCAGGCAGGCAGGCATACAGGAAGGTTCACTGACTATGTCGGCTACAGGTAGGAAGAAAAGTTGAGCACTCACTTGCTTTCCCAGTGTCTAATGACTCCCACGCTCAGGTAAACTTTGTCTCCCTTGCGTTGGGGCAAGATGACCTTCCATACATCCCTCCCATCATTGTGTAAGTAGAAATCGCAGTAATCTTTCGGCGCATCCGCTACGGCTACAGGCGAAGATGCCATGCACATGGCGAGCACCAGCACTGTCATCGCCACCGCTTTGAAGCGGAAGTGGTCAGCCATACCAGTGGAAACTGCACCCATCGTTACAGAGCTCAGCTCCCTCACAAGGCCGTTGTCGGTTGCTGGTCTGCGACCGCTGCGTTCCGTAAACTCAGCCCACGCAGAAACCAAACAGTCTATCCTGATGAGATCGCTAAAACGTCGAGGACAAGATGAAATGTTTCACCATAAAGCACTGATGAATGACTGTGTAATGCAATGGAAGGTGGTTATGCCTTTTTTATATGTTCCTCCGTCCTCCGATCGGCCGGTTTGCCTCATCCTTGAGCCCCGCCGTGGGAGGAGACCCCGGGCCATGTCCCACTTGTGGAGGTTTAGTTCTGGTTTCAAGTATGCAGGGCTCCCTGCCATCCCATCTGAATATCTCACGGCCACAGTGTGACCACGTTGAAAAATGCGCGAAACATAAACTAAACGCCTGCTAGTGGGACATGGGGTCTCGCTCCACTGTTGTCCACTAAACAATTTTCTAAGGTTACGTACATAGTTCTTCATCACTCCACAAAATCTACAAACCAAAATAGTGAAATCCTCTTGTATAGCTGTCGGTCATCCCCTAGGAAAAGCACTCTCCAAGGTTACATAGTATACCTGTCAGACCTCCCGTAGGAAAACCACTCTCCACTGTTGCAGAGTTCCCAGCCTCCAAGAAGCACCCTCCATACCTTTCTCGGCCTTCTGGCTAAGTAAGATCAAGTGTAGCGTATCTGTTATCTGATGAGTTTAATATCTGATCCGTGGTCCATCGGGGTAAGAAAAAAAAAAACACGGTCCACTGTCGCACAGTTCCCAGCCTTCAAAATCCGTTGAGTTGTATAATGCTCTCACGATTTGGCTCCGAATTTGTAGACTGCCTCTAGTGTGGCCGGACGGAATTCGGATTAGGGTGTGTCTTCGACTGCTGTCAACCTATCTTCTTCTAAAGACCCCTTGGATAGTCGGACTTGGAGAGTTAGTGGAGCGACGACACCTTTTCCACCATCTGTATGGTCTGACTCTGACAGCTATACTATCAGTGCCTAGCCCCCGTTCATGAACGGGGGGTACTGTGAACGGGTCCCAGTCACCCGTTCACGTCTCGAAGGCGGTGCCCACTGGCTTTTTTTCTGTTTTTTTTGCTGGGGGGGGGAGCAGGTTCATGGCGGATGCAGCGGATGGTGCTCCGCCTCTGTATATTTCTTTTTTTGAAGAAGTTTGATGTCCATTTTCACTTCTTCTTCTTTTGTGAATTAAAAAAACAAAAAAAGGAAACAAAAGGGTTAATACGGGACGGTGGTTGCATGAAGGCCTCCTCTCTCTCTCTCTCTCTCTCTCTCTCTCTCTCTCTCTCTCTCTCTCTCTCTCTCTCTTTCTTTTTTTTTTTTTTTGTGCACGCGTGCACGCATGCACACAAGAGAAAGAGTGAGAGAGGAAGTTGATTCATTAATCTCTCTCTCTCTCTCTCTCACACACACACACACACACACACACACACACACACACACGTGCGCACACACGCCCGAGTGAGTGAGAGAAAGGGAGAGATAATCAATCAAAAATGAACCAATCAATCAGCTTCCATTGATTAATTGATTGATTGGGTGATTGATCCTGTCCACAATCCATCGGAAAAGAAACAAAAAATAAAACCAAAAAACAAAACAAAAGAAAAAAACAATATGACAAAATGGAGGGGGGCTACGTTGCCTATGTGCAGGATGAGGGCAGGAGGGCAGGGGGCAAAGGGGAGGGCATTTGCAGGGACAACACAACACTTCGATAAGAATTATTCGATAAGAGTTAAATACATGTAAACAAACATAAGAATAGCAAAACAAACGATGCAATAACGAAACACCCCACATATGTATTGCCAATAATAGGTGTTTTTTAGTATGGTACTCAATATGTTTCTCTAATCTTCATGCATTAGCCAGGAAAAGACCAGAAAATTCCATGAATTTTTACTGTGAAAGCTTGAAAGATAGTAAATGTTAATCGATATGGTTGAAAAGTATAATAAAACCCATCACAAAGACCCTTATAGCTTCACATAATGGCAATGAAATTGTTACACCCCCGAAATATTCTAAGAAAGCGATGTAAAATTTATGGTCAACAGGACCACAAAATACAAACAAATGTGAGGTACCTCACAAAAATTGACTTGACAAAACATCAACAGTCACCAACATCACAATGAAAATGACGATTCCAATTTCGTTCAAAAAATATAAAATGTCCGTTTTGACAAAATCGCTGTTCTTTCTCAAAGTTTATGAAATTGAAGGCTGCATTATGCCTGGACTGGCGGGAAAGCTTTATGAGTTCATTGGTGAGGAGAATGTTATCTTTTATATTCCTTCCGTCTATGAACCATGTATGTGTCAAATGTATTATGTTCGATATTACCTTTATTAATCGGTTGGTCAGGGTCTTAACTGCCATCTTGTATACTACGGTGAGTTGGGTAATTGGTCGATAGTTTCATATATTATTATTGTCTCCCTTTTTATAGAGTAGGGTCAGCACCCCTTGTCCCATAAATTCACCCATCCTCCTGGATGTCCATATTGCATGATAGAAGTCCATCAAATCCTGTGCCAAGAAGTCCTAGAGCACTTCCCAGAATTCCTTTGGGAGGTCATCTATGCCCGAGGTCTTCTCCTCTTCCATCAGCATGAGGGCTGTGAGGATCTCGTCTTCTGTGAGGGGTTACTTCAGCAGGTCCTTTAATTGCTCTCTCATGGCATGATTTAGTGGGAGGAGGAACTCTTTCATTTCTTTTGTCCTTTGGTGGTCGGGAATGTCAGCACATTCAGGGGTGAATAGTTCCTTGTAGAATTCTCTGGCTATGAATGTGCATTCTGCCGTGGAAGTAGCTAGTGCTCCATTAGGTTGTTTGGGGTCGGGCAGAGCTTCTATGATTGATCTCGCAGTTCTAACTCTGGTCATTGCAAAGAATCTAGCGTCCATTGTTCCTTCCATCCGGTGCCGTCAGAGTTTGTCTCGGATGCATGCACCCTGCGAGCGGTGTTCCATATGTGTGAGCAGTTGATCCTCTAGATCGCGGGTTTCTTTGGCAAGAGCTTGCAGTGAGTCCGCATTTTCTGTGTCAGTTTCCTTTTGTTTGAGGAGTTGGAGTCGTTTGCGTATGCAAATTTCTGTTGTGTGGCATTGGGTAGCAAGAAGTTTAACATGTTATTCATTAAAATAAGACATTATATTTTAAATTGGTACTCGCACGCTATTAATTTCATGTTAAAATCGCTATATTTTGGATCTGAATGGAACTTAGGAACCCGAAGAATGCAATTGAGAGACCATAAATTGAATCTAAACTGGAGATTCAAGGCAATCACTTACTAATCATGATGGATTAAGTGTGAATTCCATTGCACTTCCATCAATTTTGTAACTTAAAAGTCGTTACGATTACAACATGAATTGTTGAACTCTCGATTTCTTTACACCTTGCTCAATTTTGAGTCAGCATTGAGTCGAACCTCTTTTAGATGACATTTTGACTTCCCATAATTTATTGAAACTCAATCGAAGTGGGACATTTACGGTAAGCACACAGATGGTTTAAGTACTAATAGTCTAGTATGGATTCCGTCGCACTTCGATAATTTTTGCTTTAACTCTATTAAATGTATACTAATCACGACAAAGTTTCACGAATGACACGACAAACGAATGACACGACAAACGAAATTACGGTTTAAGTACAGTGATTATGGGTTCCATCGCACTTCGATAATTTATGTACTACATACTTATTAAAAGACGTGACACTCAGTCTGTTCGGTGTGATTTAAGGATGGATTCCAACACTGTGATACTTCGATAATTTTGGAGTCTATCACACTTCGACAATTTATGTGACTTTAAAGACGAAATTGACATGTCATTGTCATATATTGAAATGCACTTGAATCAGGCGTACTACACATGACATTGTGTGAAGGCGAAACTAGATGGTTTATTTATGGATTCCGGCGCACTTTGACAAAATATCATAAACCGATATGACATTGTCATATGAAACTGAAATTCACGTGAGTACCATGGATTCTGTCTCACTTCAAGAAATGTAGTACCCATGAAAAATTAAAAGTTAAAAATTGTGCTGGTAACTAAAGTTCAACATTGTACCGACATATGCAAGAAATCGCAAATACAAGATTGAAGTACGTCTACATTAAACGCTACAAGCCAACTGTACATTGAACTACGTCTAAATGAAACGCTACGAGCCGCAACAATGTAAACTTTCAAAAACTCTACCATTTACAAAATTTGAAGTTCCTACCGATGTCCCCACGTCTCTTTAGAACCAAACCCGTATAAGGCATTCATAGACGACCGGAAAACAAGGGTTTGTGGCTGTCCCATCGTCGCCACCCTCGAGAACACCGAAATGTACTTCATCCTTACAAACCTACAGGCACCTGCCAAGGACTTACCGATGGCGTCACGCACACAACATGTCACTTGCTCTACCTCATGCCACTTATGAACCTCATCAATTTGACTGGCAATCTCCAAATCGGATTGTCCGTTCTCGCACAGACGGCGCAAGCTCTCCATGTTGCAACCATAGATTCTAAGGTTGTTGCAAGAAACTAGCATTACAGCGTCTACCAAAGTCCGCTTTCGGTGTGAACATGCCACCCACAACACTCTGCAGAAGTCGGAACCGGTCACAGACAACCGTATGCAACAATATGACACATCTTTTGGCTGTAACTCGGCACCACGCAACAGATATACTTCCAAAAACGGATTGTAGGATGCACAGTCCAACAACTTTTGTTTCAAGTCCGCACACCACACCCGAGGTGACCTCGTTGCGTTGTCCAGGCGAAGGTAAAACCAGTTATTCTCTTCCTGCCTTAGCGAGGCGCGCACGAACGGAAGTTATCTGACACCAATGGCATAATGAGGTACTTTGATCAGACTTCCCCACTCTATCGCGGAAGCAAATTTGTAGTCTTTATGCCATGGGCATTTCCTTGCCAAGATGGCTCTATCCCATTTTGCCTCGGACCACGCATCGATAGGCTTGTCAAAGAAGGGGACGACGGTCATCCACGGGTCGTTTTCGGTATCGCCTCCCG